TATAGTTCCAAGGGAGGTATCTGTCCCTGAACCCAATTCCGTTTCACCACCTACAAATGTACAAGAACTTCTAAATGATACAATAGAGCCAACAGTACCTGAGGCTTACACTGAAGCTGAACCAGTGTTAAGGCGTTCAAGTAGAGTATATAAACCTGTTCAGAGGATGAATTTGTAAGTACATCTTTATTTCAATCTGTATTTATGAATTTTGGTCAAGAGAGGAGGAGTTATATACTTGGCAACACAGGTAGGCAACACCGCTCACTGACACAAGGGAATGAAGTTAGTTATTAGGCAATAAAGGTTAATGATGTAAAACCACGTTGTATTATTAATTATTACCTTATTTAAGTAAGAAATACCAAATACACAACAGAAAGATATAAAAGATTGTGGTGAGGCTTGCGTTGGTGTACGACGGTGAAGTCTACCCTGTAAAGAAGATCCAGAAAAAGAAGATGGATGTAGCTGAAATAAAAATATTACGATATACGTTCGGTAAGACTAGAACGGACTGGACAGGAACGACGTGAATAGGAAAAGAGCCGGGGTAAATACAATCTCAAAAAAGGGACAAGAACACAGGCTGCAATGGTTTGGTCACGTCAAACCTTGAAATGAAAACTATGTGGGACGAACGATAGAGCTGTTCGAAGTTACTAGAAAGAGGGGTAGAAGAAAACTGAGGGAAAGATGGAAGGACTCTGTGGTAGAGGACTTGAGACAGAAATATTTTTAAATGAAGAAGACAAGATGGATAGGATTATGATGGTGAAGAAGAGTAAATAACAGCGACTCCTGATAACGGAAATGTTGAGGAAGAATTTTGACGTTTTAACTAATTCTTTTAGATAATTTTTTTATAATTAAAATATGCCAAAAAACAGTCTTATATCTTCTTTTTATTTTTTTATAAATTGATATAGTGACAAAGAAACCATAAATTCCAAATTAAGCTACACAAAAACACTAAAACTAGCGTAAATTTTTCACCTTTACTATTTTACACAAACATATTCTAATATCTCGTTATCCCTCCCTTCGTATGATCGTGTGGCGGATATGGACCTAGAGGTTCGTTTGGGGTCGGTGCGCTCGGTAAGCTGAATAAATACGGTGGTAAATGTAACCATATCATTATGCAAAAATCTACGTATCTCCGGAAATTTAAAGTTTAAGTAAATAAACATAGATTGCCTTTAGACAAATAACCAAAAGCACCGGCGGCTTGCGAAATTGTAGACTTTTGGATTAGATGTTTTAGTACAGTAAACATTGGATGGTGAAGTGATACGAGATGAGATTTTTTATCGTAAATTGTTTTTATCATTAGCTGCTAACATACGGCAGGATAGATAATGATTTTTATGTAAACAAGGTGACTATTAATTAAGCTTTTCTTCATTTACCAGCGACAAATAATATTTATTACAGCCAGTAGAGTTGAGTATCAAAATTGTAGATACTAAATTCCAGAAAATGGTGATGACCGACCATTGTGAATTATTCTTGGTCTTTCAGTGGCTTACAAAATTCTTTGGTAATTATTTACTAAGCCGGAACGCCTTAAAAATGCCCAATTTTTTGTGGACTTAGCCGAAAAAGTGAAAAAAACCTCAAATTTTAATGTTTTATTTGCTTTGAACTATTAAAAGTGCCCAAATAATCAAAAAAATTAGAAAAAATACCAAAAAAAAGTATTATGAACCAAAAAAAATTACATAAAAAGCAAAGAAAAGTATATATACATGTCATAATATAAAAAACGTAACTAAAACATATCAAATATCACTATTTTTACTGTAAAATTTTTAAAAAATGCGTAAAATTGTTTAAAATAATCAAGATTTTTAATATTTCAAAACAATATGGCGGCCATGCGCAAGAAGTTAAATTTTATGTACATTTGACATTGTTGCCAGTTTTAATTTCATATTTTTCTTTACATTTTATTATTAAAAATGCAAACCAATAAAACAAATCTAACCCAATAAGAAAACATGACAATAAAACATAAAACTAAACCAACCTAACCTAACCTAACCTAACGCTCGTAAAAAGCAGTAATAAGAATAAAATTTTGTAATATAATTAAAAATTAAATTTTTTATTTTTCATAAGAAAATATAATAATAAACGTAAAGAAACGTAACCAAACCTAACCTGACCCTTGTAAAAAAGCTATAATTTTCAGTTAAAAGTAGGTAATAATAAAATGTTATTTTAATGTAAAATTTGAAATTCATTAGAAAACATAATTTTGAATAACTATGGCAACACTGGTTAAAATTACCATTTTTGACCATAAGAAACAGTTATCATTCCTGTCATTTCTTGTTGTTTCATGGTAAATAATGGCGAATAATGGCGGTGGCTTTTAAAAATCGGGCATATTTTAAATGGAAATTACATAACAAATAACGTCTTGCACCGCATAAAAGTCATTGCACAATCATTAGTAAGTGAAGAAGAATTCAATAAAATAAATTTCATCTCCGTAAACATGGTTCCGGCTTATTACACTAGTACCAATTCTTTTTATAGGAGCTAGAAATAACGCTATTTGTATTCAAGAATATCTACAAATAATTATATGTACCTACCACTATTTTCTCCTAAATTCCTAAACAAAGATGTGGGATCGGCCATAATGCAACTGAATAATTTAGAATCAAATTTACTACTGTGGACTGGTAGTGCAGTGATTATCGATCAGTTTGGGGGATTTGGAAGACTGAGAACCCAGAATTTGGAAGACATCACAGAGGATGTATGAAGCTCGGCGCAGAAATAATCTACGCGGTTTAACCCGGAAGCCTACTTTACTTAATAGTATACTTAATAGTACTTTAGTAAATTACTAAAGACATGCAAATGAGCCGTTCCCATACTTATGTTTCAGTCTCATTCTGTTCAATTCTACTGCTAGCATTTAACTTTTTCTTTGTTCCATATTTTTCCCTTCTTTATAATTGTTCAAAGCCAATGGCTATTGCAATTGGCGTTCATCAAGCTCTTGTTACAATTCTACAGAAAAAGTGCTAAGGTAAGTTAGAGTAAGTGGGAATTTGGGGCAAGTGCGACTATTCTATGCTGTAATTCAACCAACGATATTAAAATAGCGAGATCTGGCGTAAACGTTATTCAACTTCATAGCCATGTGTTTTTCTGAATACAGCGGAGCAACATTACCGGCAATACGTGTGAAGTTATGCTATTGAAAATATATCAGCAAAAATCCACTTGTTTTGTCAAACTTGCACTTACCCCAGTATTCTGTAACAACGAAATTTTCAAGGTAAGATTATTAGCCGTATTATTTTAGTGTAATAGTACACTTCGCACTTCATGAATACGATTAACGTGTTTGTATATAAATAACCGTACTTACAGCCCACGTGCACCAATGTTTTCACTTGGCTCAGTAACAACTTTATCAAGGAAAGTGGACCATATGATTAATTAGTTACCGTCCCACTTGCCCCGATAAAAATTCTAATGGTTGAATCTTTTGCAGGCGCTACCCTAGTTCGTCTTTACCAACTTAAGATGAAGAGAGCGACATCATATAATAAGGAACAGCAGCAACAGGAAGATGTCAGATCTGGAAAAACGACACTACATACAGCAAGCCGGAATTATGCAATTCCAAAAACAAGGGGGAAAAAGTGATTCATTATGCAGAGGACCAGTTATTCCTATTGAACATGGACGCAAGTGAGCAGAAGGTTTGAAAACTCTAGAAAAATGGGGCTACGGAGTATCAAATCTTGAAGTTTTATGATTGTCTCGGATTTTGTTGCACAAAATAATATAAAAGCGCTATTTAAAGAAAACATTCCTTGTCATGACTGGCTTACTAACTTTATAGCAAGATACAAGTGATCTCTCAAGATATCCCTCAATCGGTTTAATATGCAGGGAAAAAGATCCGTTTCCTATTTATGAGTATTTGAGCTCTTAAGAACAACTTTGTTGAATTAAATCTTAACGATAAGCCTAAGCAAATATGGAACTTAGATGAAGTCAGTTTATGCATTGAGCTGTCCCGAGTGAAGGTATTAGGAGCCAAAGGAAAACAGAGACGAGAATCTAACAATATTATCTGCAGCAAATGTATTTGGAGACAAAGTATTTCAACCTGTAAAGTATTTCAAACTTTAAATTAAAGTTTGTATGGGACCAGTGGATGACAACACAGGACCCAGATCATCTTGACATAGCATATGCAGCTACTCCACACGGCTGAGTGGAAACATGCGTTTTCGTCAGTTTCTTAAAAAATACATTTTTGAATGCTGTGTATCAACAAAGCCCAATATTGTTGATATACGATGGTCACAGCACTCATGTAAATGAGATTGAGATTACCATCTTCAAGTTGCCGCCACACACATCGCATTTATTACAACCCTTAGATTTATTTGTGTTTAATCCTTTAAGACTGAGTGGACAAATGATCGGTTGCTTGGCAGCCAAAAAACCAAGGAATAAAAATTCCGCACTGAACATTTTCTGAGCTTGTTAGTGACGTGTGGCATGGTACAAAGCCAGAAATCATCCAAAGCGGATTTCGGAAAGCGGGAATATTCCCATACAAAAATGACCTTATAGAAGAAGATAAATTTCACGCCGATAAAGGTGACGAAAATATGAAAGCAACTCTAGAAGATTTACCGCCATCGGCTTTGTTTGAATACTTGTTTTTGAAAACAGTTAAAAACTTACGAAGTGTCATTGGTTTTTTTTAACTTTGGAAAGAATTTGTTTACTATGTATGTTAAAAATTTATTTGTATAGTCTGATTAAAGTATTCCAACCACGACGCAATGGGAATAATGCGTCTCCATATATACCATATTTTCTTACAAAATTATCTTATTATTAATATCTTTATATTAAAAATGTTATATTAAAATAATTATATTATTATTATTAAATAATAATATTAAAAACCATAAAAATTAATGAAAGCATTAAATTATAATACTACTCACTTGTTATAAGAGTAGGAGTACAATTCAAGATGAACTCTGAAAATAAAAATAAGGATTAATTTAATGTTTACCTAGAATTATGTCAATAATTTAACTGAAAGTAAATTATAAATTTGCGTAAGCTAAAAACGTCATTTGTTTAGGATTTTTTCCTTAAAAAAATAGAGACCAAGATCGTTTGATCTCAAAGAAAGAAATTTTTGGTATTTGTTTACATCACAACAATAATGTTTAATTTGTTTAATAAGTTGTTATTGATGTTCCTGTTTATTTAAAAACCAGGTAGTTAACAAGGGTCTGAGTATAACTTAATTTCCATATCATCGCAAGTACACTATAACATTTACAGATTTAAAGATTTGTTAAAATGTTGATATTATTTAGACTTATTTTGAGAAAGTTTTAACCATTACATGATGCCAAGGTCACAACTAAGACAGCAATAATAAAAACTTCCTTCTTCTCCAGTAATTCTTTGCTACTGCTTCTTATTCGGCCGTCTCCTTTCGAAGGTTGGCGATCCAAATGTCAATTGTAGCTTTGGAAACTGCTGCACGAAATATGGTGGTGGATGGTGGTCAAACCATCTCCTCTGATCTTTCAGTCACGAGTTCTGGCGTCTTCCAACTGATATTTTGCCTGTATTTTACCTTCCAATATGATTTTGAGTAATATATATCTATCACCTCTCAATACATGACCCAAGTATTTTATTTTTTCTCTTTGATTATGCTGAATTCTTCGCTAGGCAGTGTTTATTATGCTGCCTTGCGAAAATAAAACATCTCAAGAAATAGAAATACGCAGGGGATCACAACAGAGTTGTGTGTTGTCACCATTAGTAATTAATGTCTACAGTCAAAGCATCTGCCAGGAAGCTATTTTAAAAACAGACGAAGGAATGGTAATCAATGAAGAGGTTGTAAACAGTATTAGATATGTAGATGATACTGTCTTAGTCACAGGAACAGCAGAAGACTTAAGGACTCCATACACATTCATATATACTTAAACAGTATACATGCACAAGTATACTGAAACGTGTGTTGGGAAATACTTTCACAAGTATGTTAACTGTACAAGCGATATGAGACTTGCGGAAATTTTGGAATTTTTGGTTGTGCATGTCAGATTTGCGTAAGTGCACTTGAGCTTGTGTGTGGAACACTTGTACAAGTCTGGCAGTTAAGTTTTGACCATTCGTGTAGACGGACGATATTGTTGTTTTCGCTAGACTGGTGCAATATGAGTTTGGTTATGACGAATCACATGAAAAATGGACATCGAGAATGTCTAGAAAAATTTAATTCGATTTACGAAAAGGAGCCATGCCTGTGGTCTGTGGTAAAAAGCAAAGAGTACCACGATACGGGAAAAAGAAAGTCGGCATATAAAAAACTGATACAAAAATTGAAGGAAATCGACCAGAATGCAGATCGTGATGCAATTGTTAAAAAAGTTAACGCCTTCCGAACTAATTACAGGAAGAAGAAAAAAAAGTAGACACTTCGACAAAGTCTGAAGACGGTACCGACGAAATATATAGGTACGCCCAATTTATGGTACTTTGGTATGTTTCGAGTTTTTGGGAGATCAACATATTCCCAGGCATCCGTCCTCAAACTTGAAAGAAATTGCTGTAAATATGAAATATTTGTATATTTTGTATATTATTAACAAAGGGTGTTTGTTATTATTAACAAATACCCTTATATATTATTAACAAATCGATCTGCCAAGACACTTTTCCTTCACTTGAAAAGTATTTCATAAATTCGATTCGTATATCTTTGGCTGATACAAGATGAGGTCAATCCACTGGCGACTGTACCTTATCTTCTGATCTTTAAAAAGTTATGTAATGAACAACTTACCATCACTACCGACTCAATATTTTTTACCTCCAAGTTGATGGCTATGTGATAAATACGAAAGCGGGCTGTTAGAATCCCAAATGTATTTTCAATAATACGTCGAGCTCAACTTAATCTGTAATTATAAATTTTGTTCTCTATGCTGTTCAGATCACTTTGAGCAAATGGTTATAACATGTCGGTTCTTAAAGCCAAAGGCGTCGTCTGCTACAAACACGTATGGCAGATTTTTTCTCTGTCAGATATCAGAAGGAGGCGGAATATTTAGCAGGTTCTTCTGTAACTTGTCAAAAAATACTGTGTTTTTGAGAACACCGCCATCAGAGATCTGGCCGATTGTATCGAAATCACATATTAAAAACTTACAGTTTACGTCAACAATAGTCAATAGAACCATACTATGTGTGTTCTTGTAATTGTAGAAATATGAACCGCTTTCTGCTGGTGATATGATCTGAACATGTTTTCCGTTCAAAGCACATAAGTAGTGAGGAAAATTTCACCTCGTTCCTAATTCATTCGCTATCAATTTTCCATCATCTACTGTTTGAGGAAACGGAAAAAATTAACGATCTTAATTATGTTTCAGGGATTATTGGACGAAGCAACGGAGCCTTCAGAAGATAAAAGTGAAGCACGAAATTCCGAGGAAGTTCTTCTACACCTCCTCCATTACAACTTCAAATTCAAATTCAAATTCAATTTGAGAAAACTATAAATATTTGGGAACTTAATAAATGAGACTGTAGACCAAAATAGTGAAATAAAAAGATGTATCGTAATTGCCAGGACCACTTTCATTAAGATGAAAAAAATCTACTGCAATTGGAACAAGTATTTTTACGATTAAGAATGTTAAGAGGATATGTTAGAAGACCCTATTATATAAGGTAGAGGCCTGGACTTTTAAACAGAACAACATAAAAGATATTGAAAGCTTAGAGATGTGATGGCAAAGAGCGATGGAAACGTATAGCAAGGCTCAAGTGGCAATGGGTCGGACATGTTGACCGAGATAATCTCTAAAAACCGACCCAGAGATTAACAAACTGGTGACCAAGAGATAACAGGCGAGGAGTAGGCAGACCACAGAAGAGGTGAGCAGATAAACAAGTCGCGGGCAAGCAGTAGATGAGAATTGCCAAGAGTAGAAATCAGACAGGCAGACAGAAATAGAAACAGGCTGAAGAAGAAGAAGATTTCCAATCTGCGATAGAAGTAGAACAAGAGGAAAAAGTGATTCGTCAGCGCTTTTTAACGCTCTAGTGTCGAGTACTGTTCATTTTGTCTACTAAAAAATTTAAAATTGAAATTTAGTTGAATAAAATGTAAAATTTAATCGTTAAATCAACAAATCAGTCCTGCAAATATACAATATTTCTCGCACTATAATCTCCTATACTTTTCAATACTGTTTTGAAGTAAATCTTCTTTTCAAATACACATCATCAATTCAGCATTTTCCGATAGTCGTTCATAATTGAGACTTAAATTACAAGTCGTCTATTCAACATGGTATGAGTTAGTAGTATAAAAAGAAAATATAAGCTATTCCTAAGAAGTTGCCGCTGCGTAGGTAGCGGTCTTCACCACCCACATATCCCGACTGGAGTTGTCAGAAGAGTATCCCTTAATAACGATAAAAGTGATATACGAGAGGCTGCTGTTGTGTAGGGCACTGGGGTTATTTAAATCGTTATTTCCTTGCTTATATTCTGTTTGATATATTTGATATATGTACAGGGAAAGAGGAACTAAATAATTACATTACATAGGTGCATAAACTAAATGGACATTCGTGACTCAAGACTATTTCAATTCCATTTCTGATCCCAATGAAAAAATACATGTTTGATGCGGTTGCAGTTTTACTGCTCTACGTCTACAAGACAAGCCGTAGTTGATAATATCGTAGCGTTTAATTTTTCTAGCCCCTAAAAGTTTTGTTACTTCTTTATCAAGATATGACTACACTCTCTCGTACACTTTTTTTTACGTATAAGTACGCCTTATTAAGTTTCCAAATTATTAATTTTTGTCCGAGTTTGATTTTGATTAAATTATGTAATTTTTCTCACGAAAATAACTGCGCATTATAGCCGCAGCTACATTTTGTTTCCCACAAGTACCTAATAAAAATGTCTATATCATCTTAATTAGTCTGCTTCAAAGTATAAATAACACGCACATGCTACGATTAGGGTAGAAAAGAGGATAGTTTGTAGCTCAACAACGTAAACAAGCGCAGCAATGCGTAGGTTACAGTTATTAGGATTTTTTATATGTACTAATATGACCTTTTATTTCAGATATCTTACAAAAAAAATCACAAAGAACACAAAAAAAACGGCCTCGGCACCAAAAAAAATTTAAAAATATTAAAAATTAACAAAACCTACAAACCCGGGCACGTAGGACCCAAAACCTTGAGTACCAAGTCTCCGAACTGGAATCCGCCTCCATAGAGGCGCACAAGTAAGCATAGCACCCAACAAGAGGATGGAACCATGTTGGGATTCTATTACCTAGGACCTCCACATGAAGACCATTTGGCTGATACTTATGCCTCTATCGCGCATTAGAGTGCTATAGGAGGAAAAGGGATAGTCTGAAGCATTGGAGCGCGATAGAGTGATTCCTATTTACACACGAGTTGTTACACCTCATTTCAATGAATTTGGTATCATCCGAACGTAATTTTAAGGGGTGAAAAAGTCTCACAGGGTTCAATTAAATTGCTTGCTTGATTAGTAGTTTTGGTTCCATGCGGACACTTGTTGATAAAACTTTTAAGTAGTTGTAGTGAAAACTCGTGTCTGCGGTACGGTATCTTATTTCTGACTAGTCATTTGAACATAAAACATAGAAAGATTTTTTTATTTTTCAGGCTGGTTTACTTTGGTTATTTGGCCCAGCTAGATCAGATTTCGACAGAGTTTTCGGTCCATTCTTGATGAAATTCTATCGAGGATCATGCACTAAGTATATTGAATAGATATTCATATATTCAGATCAAAGATATTGGCCGATAGCTATGGGTCTTTTCCAGATTTAAGCAAGGCAATGACTTTGTGTTGTCTCCTAACTTTGGGTATCTGCATAGTTAGAACACAGCTGTTGATCATCTAGAGGATCTACTGCTGGTGGTTCTTAATCTGCTCT